AGGAATCAGCATATATGCTAGGTCACAAAAATCTCCTAAGCCAGTCAAGTATAGAAATGAATACAATATGGCAACCAGTAAAACAGAGTCCTAGAGAAAAAAAAAAACAACAACAACAAACATGAGCTCTGTTAAAAAAAAAAAACAATTACTGAGACATTAGGTTCATAAGTCCCAAAAATTCATACACTCCAAACAATGTAAATAGTGTAAATAGTTATAATACGTCATCTCAGAAATATAGACAGATCCTGAAGAAGGCCAGAGTGTACAACAGCCAAAACGTCGAGAATATGACAAATGATGAGGACAATCATCCAAATAGTTACAATATTTCATCTCAGAAATATAGACAAAGTAGATTTCATTTGTTTGTTGTAAGTTTCCAATGTAAAAATATCAGGTTGAGTCAAAAGTTTTTTCAGATTTTCATTGGTAATCATTGGCAACTTGTATCTATCTCAGTCTGTTCATATCTATCTATCTATCTATCTATCTATCACAGTCTCTTTGTATCTATCTATTTATCTGTTATATTCCATGCTAATAAGAATATGTACAAAACCAATACAATAAGAATAAAGGTAACAGTTATGCACAAGGTTGTCGCAAGTCAATCCAGTAGCAAATGCTACTATTGGAAGGTCAGTAGTTCTTGCATAAGTCTAAGTCGTACTCAACAGATCCCAGCTAATCTCTGTAGTCCATTGACTTACAGATACTTATAGGTAATTACTACCTATAGTGTAGTCATTCATGGGGGTGACAGGTTATTCCATTACATCACTATCTATCAATCACAGTCTCTTCATATCAATCAATCACAGTCTCTTTATATCTATCTATCTATCTATCTATCTATCTATCTATCTCATTCTCTTCATATCTAATGTTTATTTTTCATTTTACAACTTTGATAATAAGTGATGAAAAAATTTCAATTTGAGCCATGTTAAACTATCTGTGAAAAAAAAGGCCACAGTACAAGGGTAGCGGGGGGGGGATTAATGATGTGGAAGGCCCAGGAACTGTCAACAAATGTGTGGCACAAGTCTGGTTCAGACATTTCCAGAAAGGTGACACCAGCCTCAAAGACAAACCAGGGTCAGGGAGACCTGTTGTGGAAGATGTGGCATTGCTTGAAATGGTTGTACAGCAGCTAAGCACTAGCACTTGTACATTGCTGGGAGAGCTTAGTCCTTCACAAAGTATCATCAATCGACACCTCCATAAGCTCAAACTTGTGAACAGATGCTGTCAAGAAGTTCCTTATAAATTGATCAATAACCAGGCTCAACAACACATGTGAACATTTGAAAACTGCTGGCAAATCCACAAGATGCTTGTTTTCGGCATCAAATTGTAACTGGGGATGAAAAAATGGATCTATTTTTGTAATCCTAACAAGTGGCTTAATTCTAGCCAGGCTTCAGAACCTGTTGTCAAAGAAGTGCAGGTTGAAAAGAAAGTAATGTTTTGTATTTGACAGAACTTCAAGGGGGATGTTGTACTTTTGAGTTTGTCCCAGATCATTATGCTGTGAATGCTAACCTTTATGCTCAACAGCTGCAGCAAGTCTTTGATGCATTGAAAGCCCATTACCTGGTATTGGCCAATCGAAGATGCGCACTCCTACGTGACAATGCCCCAACACACACTACCAATGTGACCAAGCACAAAATTGAGGAACTTGCTGAGTTGGAAGTGCTACCTCAACCTGCCTACAGTCCAAACCTTGCAACATCAGATTACCACCTTTTCTGAGCCATGGCTCATTTCCTGTGCAGACAGAGGATAAACAATGTAGATGAGGTTGAAAACAGGCACAGGGAGTATTTTGGGCCTCTAAACCAGTTAAATGGTATAAGTGTAAAATTGAGCTTCTATCAGCAAGCAATAGAATATGATAGAATATATTTTGATAAACACTTTTTAAAAGACAAAGTTTACAGCAGGAAACCTGAAACAATTGCTGAAATGAGAGTAGCAATTGAAGAAGGATGTGCTCAAATACCAGAGGAAATGATACTGGAAGGAAGTACTGCAATGCTATGCCATTGAGCACAGGGCGGACTTTCAGCTGCAACTGCTGTGATCGTGTATGCCTGTCCTGCATTGAACATATCAATCAAAAACATGATTGCAAACAACGTGTACAGTCTCCCTTTTGATCTTTATTTTGCAAAGCCAAGCCATGATGATGATGATGATGATGATGACCAGTGGCAGAAGCATTAAAACTATCCTCATCAATGACAACTCAGTATAGTGCAGCTACTCCTAATTCCGACATTGCTCTTGGGGCTGGTTCTGGTAGGTTATGTATACTTGAATGAGTATCACCATCGGAATTAGGAGTAACTGCATGATATTGATTCGAGTTAGTTACCTCTTTGTCACCAAGACATGCTGTCCCAGTGATATGATGCTGCATTGTATTGTAATGGTCCAAATTTGATTCTCGGTATTGGATGTGCACTGCTGATGAGTCCAAAAAAAGGACGAAATGGCTGTTCAGTGCATTCTATTGAGGATTTTTGTTCTAGACTCAATGAATTATATATATATATATATATGGATGGGTGTGTGGCCAAGCGGTTAGAACATTCGCTTTCTGACAATGAAACCCAGGTTCGAATCTCACCATGGTCGATTTGTCAGAAAGGAGACTTCCTGATGTTATCAGAATGGATCAAGGTCGATCCCAGCATGTGCCACCTTTGGAAAGTGCCTGAAAACCATACCACAGGTTTAACCAAGCTTTGTGAGTGAAATTGGGTAGATGGAACTCTTGTGGGTCATCGACAGCTGTGCTAGCACAAAGCCATGTCATCATGGGCAAGGGCTTGAGTGTGCTGGCCTTGTTCAAATTGTTGATCACACTAGATAACATGTTCTCTCCCAGAAACTGTAACTAAGGTCTGCTCAGCATAGTTGAAGTATAAACCACAGGTGGGCTCTGTGGGTGTTGAGCAAACACAAATGTGCCTGAGCGAGTGTCTGCAACTGGGATTTGCTAGCCACGCTAGTAGATGGGTATCCTTGAATATGAGTGGCCAGCTATTATTTTTATATATATATATATATATATATATATATATAGAGGTCTGATGAATTGGATCGTGATTACAATTCCAATGTAATAAATTATACCCATGGAATATTAGTGTTTGAGCCTTTTATATTATATTCTTACTCTGTCCTGGACATTGAGTTATACCTGGATTCTATCCTCTTGGGAATTTATATATATATATGTGTGTGTGTGATATATTGACCAGTAATATTATCAATATATATATATATATATATATATATATATATATATATATATATATATACACACACACACACACATGGCCAGCTATTATATATAAATATATATATATATATATGCAAAACAAAACAATTTAAAAAATCTATATATTCAGTTAAGCAAAAAAAATATCCTTGATAACAGCTAATAGATTAGTCAAAATCATTTGGACAGTTCTTACCCACTACATAAATGTTCTAACCATTTAGCCATGCCCGTATTCACGATTAAATTGAATTAATATACTACTGTATGCTGAATTTCAAATGCAGACCTGTCTAGAAAATTAGTCAAACAAAATTATCCAACTTGAATTTTCTTAATTTGGCTTTGTATGACACTAAGCTAAGCTTAGTAAATATCTAATGTGGTGTTATGGTTAACAAGGTAGTCCTGCATGACTATTCACTAGTTAAGTTAGTTTGGTTCTTACTGGGTACCTTACAAATATGGCAAAGTCAGTTAAATAACTGTTTGCCTCGGGTTTCTTGATAAGCTCCAGAGGTGGAGATGCAATATAATTGGCCCTGTTCTGGCATCTCATCTACAGTCGCTCTCTCACAGACACGTCATCGCCTCTCTCTGTCTTTTTTACAAATACTTTCATGGTAATTGCTCCGAGAAGCTGCATTCGCTGGTTCCCAGACTTCATGAATTCAAGCGCCCTACGAGGCTGGCATCCCGCTCTCACCCTTTCACTGTCAAAACTATTAAATGTAGCCGTCTCTTCTACTCCAATAGCTTCATGTCTCACACCTCTCGCCTGTGGAACTCCCTTCCCTATTCCAGTTTCCCTGATAGCTATAATCTCCAACTATTCAAATGTAATGTCAATCGACAGCTCCAGTTGCCTTGATCTATCCACTATCCTTCTCCTCATCCTTTCCTCTATCAATCCTATCTGATCTTGCTCCAAATCTTCTGTAACCCCTTGCATCTTAGTGGCTTCTCGCCTTGCTTGGGGTGAAATGCTTAAAAAAAAAAAAAGAAAAACTAGACACTCTTATTGTAAATTAAGTTAATCAGGCTAGCTAAACAAATGCAACAACTAACAAGCTCATTTTTTAGACAAATCTCCTAATGTAAGTAGTATGATCCTTATTGGACTGTCACAACACCTGTGTCCTTGTACTAGAATAAGGCTTGATATTTCAAGACCAGAGGAAACAAAACTGAAAAAGCTATTTCTTCAGAGGCCTGATTGTCAAAATATTAGAAAGAATAATGATGACATGAATGCTGGACAATTTCTTTACAGATGAAGAAGAGACTTGAAGCAACAGAAATGTAATTCTACAGAAGGATGCTGAGAATACTATCGACCTGAGAGCAATGACAATGTTTTAGAGAAAATGGAAACAAAAAGGACAGTTATACTTAACATCAGAAAGATCTAGTTGATATTTCCAGGGTATATGAGGAAAGAGAGCTTGGAAAATTTGATACTCACAGGACAAATTGAAGGTAAGAGGGACAGAGGAAAACAGCATATAACCTACCTACCTAATGAGCTTCTGCAAATGGATGGTGGAACAGAGTTTCGGAGAGCTAACAAAAAGACAAAATTTATTAAGAGCTATAAAGGACATGAAATTGTGGAGAGCCATGATTACCAACGTCTTGAAGAGATGCTGCACATAGAAGAAAAAAGTAAAATGGTTAATTGCAACAGGAAAGAAAATGTTTAAGTTTTCAGAAGCTGTTTTCCACCCACAACACATGCAGAATGGGGAGGGGTGAGAAGAGGGGATGTAAATAAAGGTGGGTGGGGAAGTGTGGATGGGTTTGGTGAAGTGTGGAGGGAAATAAAGGTGGGTGGGGAAGTGGGGACATAAATAATGGAGGGGTGGAGAGGGTAATGATAAAGAAGGGGGAGGGAGGTAAAAGAAAGGGAAGGTGAGACAGAGGGATAAGAGTAGAAAATTTCTTCAAACTTACTAGAACTCTCAAGTACTGTCCCAAAATTTGAGAAGTCAAGAATATGACTCAACAAATTCTTTTATTTTGAAACTGATAACTTACAAAAGTGTCAGAATATATTTAAAAGTTGTATTTAAAAAAAAAAAAAAATGAAAATGGTTACATTTTGCAATGGAGTACAGCTACCATATTTGGGCTGATGCTGCCAGTCTTCCCTTTCCAGTCTTGATAGAGTCCAAAAGTATCTACGTGGCCTTGTGGGTGATTACCATATTTTCCAGCTTACAAGACGCACTTTTTTCCTGAGAAATACATGTGTGTCTTCCAAGACGAATGTAAGGCATGTATTTGTATGTTCAGTCATTATGCTATAATGTTAGCTATCTATCTAATTCAGCCTTTTTATATGATGTAACTTCAGTACTTAGCTGTTACAAGTATTTCTACGACTATGAACCTTCCTGGAGCAGAGCCACAAGCTTAAATATGCTCTGTTTACTAGCAGCGATGTGAGCCTTTCTACTCTTGACTAGTATGTTACTGCCATGCAAACAAAATCAAACACATGATTGATGTAAACAATATGTGGCACCAGTATGTGAAGGATACAAGGTGAATGTGTTGTCATATGAGAATGACTTTTTTTCTTAGAAAATTCTTTCCAATATTAGGGTGCATCTTCCAAGCCGCAGTGTTTTGTAAGCCGAAAAATATGGTAATTGTTTTCCATCTTACACCCCTTTCCTAGAGAAGAAACATTGCAATTCTCTCACTACTCTACCACTATTTCCATATAAAATGTTCTGATAACTCTAACCCTCCAAGCTTCTTTGAAGAAGGAAGTAACTTCTATCTTAATATAAAATACTGGCATGGAATTTTTAAATGATATGCTAATTAACATTTTTTGAAAAAATACCTACTACCCTCCTGGTGTCAGTTTAAACGGATAATGTTTTTTTGGCTTTTTTTTTTTTTTTCACATTGTGACAATTTTGCTTAAGTTTGTATTTTCTTTATTTCAAATGAAAACTGAGAAATTTTACAACATACTTCAATGAAATTTTCAGTTTTTTAATTGTAGTTTAGACATATGGAAAAAGAAGGCATCACTTTAAACTGGCAACAGTAGTATATGTGTTAGGAATATACTGTAAATTATTTTACAACAGTAATACATTAAAATTTCACCATAAGATTGCATTGTTGACAATTTAAAAAATAATGCTTTGCAAATAATTTTATTTTCACTCATATCCTCCTGGTGCCATTTTAAGTTGACACCTTATTTTTCCAAATATGATCATTTTTGTTAAAGTTTATATCTTCTTGATTTCAGAAGAAAATTTAGAAATTTTTCTGTATTTTAGTGAAATACTCACTTTCCTAAATTAATTTATACTTATAGATTAGATATATATAGAAGAAAGGTGTCAATTTGAACTGACAACAGAACAATATGAGTTAATATTTGAAGATATTAGGTTTGAAATCTGAACCATAACTTTCTGCTATATGCAGCCAATGTAACAAATAGAATTTTTTTAACATCAAAGCTTTCATTGAATTTCTGGGAGGTGATGTTTACATTATTGACATGTGGACAATTGCTGTTATTACCATGTTTCAGCCGTTGTGCCATCTTGCCTTCATCAACTATTTGTCAATCCAGATAACCTTCAAGGAATTTCAAACTGAACCCTTTATCTAATTTATGGGGTTAGATTGTTCTTGTTCCATTGACCATGTCTTAGTTTAGTAATGCTCAGTTATTGCTGAGCCCATTTACACTGAGCCCAAGTATCCACTGTCCATCCCAGGGATTGAACTCACAATTACTCTGTAACCAAATTCATGCACCAATGCTTTAATTCACTTGGCCATTGTCCCATGAAGGTTACCTGGATCAATAAGCACCTGATGATGGCCAGAAGACACAAGGGGTAAAACGTTGTGATAATAACAACAAAGATGAGGATATTAGTTCAAATGTAAATAATGTAAATAATCACAGTTTGATGATTGTATTTGAGTCCAGTAAGTCTTTTGCTTTTCCTATTGCTGCCCACTTACTTTACCACTACTCTATGTCACCTCAGCTTGATTTCAGTCTTTTTCTCCATTAATATCTTAAACATCCATTGCATTAATAGAAAAATAAAATATGCCAATTGAGTAATGAATTTTATTATTTTTTTATTTAAAATTTGTATAAGTTTTGGGAACAAGAAATCAAGAAGGAATTGAAGGAATTAGTCAGTAATTGAAGTTTTGATGAAAGAAATGAACTATTATATTTATTTATCCTTTTTTTTTTCTTAATAAAATTTTGAAATAAAAAGAATACCTCTCTTGCTTTTAGAATAGTTATTGGCATAAAGATTGTTAACATTGCACATAGTGAATCTAGCTTCAATCTTCAAATAGCTGATTTTACATATAAATTATGAGTAATATTTGAACAATTTTGCTTACTTGCATCAAGAACAAGTCTGTACAGTGTTCCCACTTTTATAAATTGCCAGTGACAAAATACTCCTCGGAAGTACATAAAAAGTAACTTAGTTTTAAAATCTATTAAAAAAAAAGAAATAGAGACTTGGGAAAAAACATTAGGATTTATAATAAAATAAAATAAAAATTCTTGAATACTTCTTAAACAACAGAAAACACAAAAAAAATGTTAGAAACAGTTGTTCTTAGTGAAACAATGTCATTTGCAGTGCTTCTAACAAAACACTTATCAGACGATGATCCTTTGTTCAGACATGGTTTTAGAGCTGTAACATTTTTATCACTAACATAGTGTACACCAATGGTACCTTGCAATACCATCAGGCTTTATTGGTTCCATGGTTCTCTGTCACATTGAAGGAAAATCAGGTACAAATCAGTGCATTCTCTGCTCCAATCCTGAAGCCTTTGATCTCCTTTGATATCAAATGGAGATCAGTTACATATAGAACAAGTCTGAAGTTTGAATACCACCCCAGTATCAGATGAGAACAGGAGAAGTATTGAGTCTTAAAGCCAATATATCTACCCCATGACTCAACATAACTTCCAAAACAATCTATATACTATAAAACCTTTAGCACAAAAAAACAAAAACACAAAGGAAAATAAAACCAAAGGAATTACTTCTCTCTCTCTCTCTCTCTCTCTCTCTCTCTGCACACACAAACACACACACAGTTCATTTTTCTTTTGACTTTCACAGAAATTATCAAGAACCAATGTGGTGTCTGTGTGGTAGTTAGAATTCTTTTGTCTGCATCCTGGTATTCTTTGAGAAGCTGGATGTTTGAAATGGTCTTGCGCGAAGTCATGTATAATGGCTAATGGGAACAAGGCCACACAAAAAGATTGAATTTTTTTTTATTTAATATAAATTTTTATATTTTTTTTGCACAAATATTTTATTATAATAATACAAGAACAATAAATGAAATAAAAATAAAAAAAAACTTTGGACAGTTTATCCACAACTTCGAACACAATACTCAACACCTTATTAAAAAAATACAATAAAAAATTAAACAGACAGACCTTGTCAGTTCTTTTTAATCAAATTTATATATATATATATATATATATATATATATATATATATATATACACACACACACATATATATATATATATAGCATATATTTTGGCAGCATCTTTTCATTAAGACATGTCTCATTGAATAATTTGGACAAGTTTTGTCAACTTATCTTCAATAGGATCCTCTCATATTCACAGACAAGCTTCTTAGTATCCTTATTAAAGGAAGAGAGAAAATTACCATGTTGATACATATTCATTTATTTTGAAAGTACTTTCAGCATTAGCACAATGTTATCATCAGGGAGTTTTTATTTTTTTTCTAAGACAAAATTGTTGTGTTCATCTGAAAGTTAAATTTTTTTAAACTGTGATGTGAAAAAGGGTAAGGTTATGTACTCTATGATTTAAATTTCATGATGCACATATCAGGGGAGGTAACTAGGTTTGGAATTCCCATATGTTTTTTTAAAAAGGAACATATGGACATTTTCATTTGAATGATGCATCAAACATATCACAACATTTACAACAGCATGCCCATCCACATTCACAATTTTGGAAAATTCTTGTTGAAAACACATCTATACTTTTTCATGAAAATAATAAACTAAAAATTCTTGAAGATATCTCTATTAAAAATTGAAATCAACCCTTAATAAAAATTAATTATGAATACTGCACAAATGTTTTAAAATGTTTACAGTAGACAGTTTTAAAATATCTAGGTTTTAACTAATAGTTTTTTGTTTTTTTTTAAAAAAAAACATATGGATATTCCAAACCTATTACCTCCCCTGACGTATACATCATGAAATTTAAATCGTACAGTATATAACCTGAGAGTTTTTCACATCACAGTTAAAAAATGCTACCCTACTGAAATCTTTACATAGGAAATACTTTGAGGGGATTCTGATAAATCTCTTGCCAACTATAAACACATATCAAACACACTATTTTTTTTACCAACTTTTAAAAAATCCATACTTAAAGAATCTAGATTATGTCTACCTACCATTAGGACAAATGGTGTTATGTAAAAACATTCCCAAATCAACATACATACAACTACCACCATATGTAAATAAAAATGCCTACTAGGCAGACACACACACACACACACACACACAAATGAATATACATTACCATCCAAATCCCAAATAGACAAACTAGATTCATGATACATTTACACACATAAATTTACTCAAAAATGCTGCTTTACAATACAAAATGCATGTGAAGTCTGCTTAACCAATGAAAAAAAAAAAATTAAAAATACCAGAATTTTTTCTTTCCTTTTTCTCCATATCTCATTCACTGATGAAGCTTTAATAAAGTTAATGTAAGTTAACCAACTGCTGCCTACCCCAGTCACTGGGAAAGCCGCAACAGTATAATCAAAGATCTGGATCTTGACTTTATATAATGACAATTTGGAAAACTGTTTTGGTGATGAATTACCACCAGATCAAGAAAAGAATTTTGTTTTAATAAAATCATTATTAATGAGATGAAATCAGGTTAACAATAAAACTGAGTTGAAATTAGTTAAAATTTAATTTTATAATAGTACAGTTAAGAGAGAGAGAGAGAGAGGAAAAAAAGGAAGGTGTAAAAAAAAAAAGAAGAGAAAGGTAGGAGGAAAAAAAGGGCTAAGTAAAAAAAAAAAAAAAAAAAAGGTGGCATAAAAGGTAGGAGGGGAAAAAAGGGGCTGGGTAAAAAAAAAAAAGGAGGAGGCATAAAAGGGAGGAGGAGGCTTAAAAGGAAGGAGACAAAAATGCTTATGTCATTTGTTAATAAAAGCAAAGAAATTCCTTCTCAACTCAAAGCTTAAGTTTGTGATTTATTTAAAGATGAAAACATTGGTAAACTGGAGGAAGGGAGATTGGTTGTTCTAGAAGTAAGATAGGAGACATTTTCAATAAAACTCACAGGGCACAACTAAAAGTCCTCATTCTTTTGGTGAATATTAAAAAAAATAAAAGACTTCTTTTACAAAAAATTAAAATCATCTTGCAATAAAAACAAAGAAAAAACATTTTCAGATATTGAAGAAAACCTATTTACTTTTCTATACATTGTTTGGAATTTGATGTTCTGATATATTTTTGAACTCTACACTACAAGGAGGGGACACTAAAAGTTCTTGGCCTAACCAACAGGACTTTCCAAAAAAGATTCTGATATTTGGTTATTTGGTTAGATTTCACAAATTGGGTCATGCCCAGCACATTTTAACACCACCTCATAAGTCAGTACGAAGATGGCAAGGGTATTGCTTAAAAGCATAACAAATTTGTACTTTTAAAAGAGCGTAAAAAAAGTGTATCATAACAAAACAACGTTTTTTTTTTTTATCTTTCTTCTTTTTTTGCAGTAGAGTGTTTCACTTTAAAAGGAGTATGCATGCCATTCTTAACAATTGCCTTGTGTCAGTTTTCTCATTTTCAAATACTGTGTCTTCACATGACAGTTGAGTTGTATGTTACTTTTTTTATCTGAAAAATATTTTATGTTTATTCATGAATTTGAAAACATTGGTGTGTTTTTTAATGCTTAATGCACATGGTTTTTGTAGCTGTTGTTTTACAGTTTACATGATATAACATTATTTTTTGATTTGTGTTTTTTTGTGAAAAATGATTCAACTGAACTATCATCAGATAAATGATACACTACATATCTGAAAATGATGAAACTGACACGGCACAAAAAACAAAGAGCAGTAACAGCTTATGAAAACCAAAAGTACTCAGTCATGGGACAATTTATATTTGCATATGTACTAGAAATAAGGAAAATGGTCCAAAAGGCAAAAAACAAATATTAAAAAATCCTTAAAAAGAACTTTCACTGTTCTTTAATCAAACTTATATAAGTTAAAAATTGCTGCCCAAATACATACATTTATTTTTATTTATTTATTTATTTATATTTTTTTACAGAACATGAAATAATGATTTTTGGCAATGTATCTTGTGGTAATATCATTTTAAATATCCTATTTGCAGTGGAGTTCCTTGTCTTGTTTTAGTCAAACATGTACAAAATTAAACAAAGAGATGAACTAGTGCTATCATAAGAGAGTGTTTAATGAAATTATAACAGTTTGGCATGATCCACAGACTGGATTAGAAGGTCCTGCATTGTACATATTTACCTTACATCAAATGTTATTTTAGTGAATACACATGTTTGAGTGGAAGCTCTGTTTTTTGTTCTTTTTAAACAGCATGAATTATAACTACCAGACTATGCATTCAAGGGACTTAATAAAGAAAATGTGACACCCATCAGAGTTTGAACCTGTGTCCCCCTTTTGTAGGGGAAATCTGGCATGCTTTAGACTACATGACTCTCTTCAAGAAGCTTGGAGAAAAGACAAAAGAATTTTTTTCACCCTTTCTCCTCTCACAAAGATAGGAATGATCCAAAAACAATCATTGAAACTCATTTTAAAATATCAGACAAAACACACAACATTAACTCAATAAGAAATTATCTTTTAAAAACAAATGCAGACAAGTAATTAAACTGAGATATTTCTTTGCAAATGACTTTTCTGGAAGAAACATTTCTAATTGATTTTTCTGGAAGAATCTGTTCCCTATTGATTTTTCTGGAAGAATCCTTTCCAATTGACTTTTCTGGAAGAATCTTCTCTAACTGACTTTTCCAGAAAAATACTTTCCAATTGACTTTGCTGGAAGAAACATTTCCAATTGATTATTCTGGAATAATGCACTCCAATTGATTTTTCTGGAAGAATCTGTTCCCTATTGATTTTTTCTGGAAGAATCCTTTCCAGTTGATTCATCTGGAAGAATCCTAACCAAATGATTTTTTCAAGAAGAATCTTTTCCAAATGACTTTTCAAGAAGAATGGAGAATAGACCAATCAATTTTTTTTTTCACTCTCTCTCTCTCACACACATACACACACACCCACACAGAAGAGAATAATCCAAAAACAATCATTGAAACTCATCTCAAAATCTCAGACAAAATACACAACTCTAACTCAATAAGAAATTACCTTTTAAAAGAACAATAACAAGGAATTAAATTGATACTTACGAGGTAGAATTTCTTCTGAGGGGTAATTGTATTCGTAACGAAACTTTTCCCGTACATGAATTCCAGTTAATGTAGTTTTTGTAAAATATTCAATGTTTTCCCGGCCAAACATGCTGGCCACCCCAAAATTATCAATGAGTAATTGCATAATGCGTATTGCCCTTTCAACTTTTTCAGGGTCATCAGCACATGTAAGAAACATACTGCCAGCGACACTGCGAGCCAGTGCTTCCACTGACATGGAGTTGACATCGGAATGGTTAACAATCCGAAACCACGTCCCAAATAGAAGAGAAACAAGTTGTTGGTGACCAACACTTAAGGATTTTATGAACCTGGAAAAAAAAAAAAAACTATTTTAAAATAGAAATATTTTTAAAAACACACATAAATGTATTTGAAAAGTCAATGTTAAAAAAGAAAAACAAACAAATAATGTAAGAAAAAATTTTTTAAAAAAAGACATTTTCAAAAGAAAACAAGTTTCTGTAAAATCAAAAATATTGGGCAAGTCAATTTTATTGTTTTATTTTTACCATTAAATAACATATATATTTCATACACTCTTTTTTGTCACTGTACAATTAAATTGAACAACAGTCATCAGGTAGACACACACACATGTAAAAAAAAAGAAATGCATGCATATAACAGATAAAAACATACTCATGCACATCATCAAATGAAGACAAGTAATAACATTTTGAATATACTAAAAATTGTCAGCATTTATATTACTCAGGGTCCAAGTATCCATCAGTGTTTATTTTATGCAGGGGTCAAGGATAAAAGCCATCCTTTGAGTGCTTTGTCTGAAAACTAAAACGTGACCCTGAGGGTAACAGTTCAATCAAGCGGTACCCTGGATGTGTACTCTTTCATCATGTTTTCTGCTCTGCTGCAACAAAGAGAATTAGAAATATCCTCCAAGAATGGCAGCAAGCAGATGATTATTTTCTGGGCAACATCTACAATCGGTTGGAGGGCAGCTGGCTTACCAAAGAGTGATGCAGGACATTTGCACATTCTCAATTTAGCAGTACGTCATCATTTCATAAGAAATAAAAAGACAAGAAGTACTGAACTGTTCTGCAATATGAATACTCCTGCACAAAATACAGCCTACAAGACTATTCATTGTGACCCTCAAGGGGTTTTCAAAGAAGTAAATCTCTGTGTTCAGCAGAATAAATTCAGCAACTGGTCAGTTTTGTGGAAGCATGAGTTTATTCAATGAATATTTCACTATTTACATTGTTCAGACTGTTGTCCTCATCTTTATTGTTACATTCATGGTCCAGTGAATAAAAGCTTTGGATGATTGATTCAAAAAGTGACTTGACCCAAAGAGTTGTGAGTTCAATCTCTTTGTTCAGAGAGAACAAAACCTGGAGAGTTGAGCTATCAAGGGTAATTAACTAAATCTGAGATAGCCAAAAGGATGGCACATGAAATTAGAACAACCTACCTCTGTGGACTAAATAAAGGGTTCAGTTCAAAATTCCAACAAATATTACTTGAAGAAGGCTGGAGCATAAAACAGCCGAAATGTTGTGAATGTGACATTAAGGACAAGGACAACAGTCTGAACAATGTAAATAGTTGTAATACCTCATATCAGAAATATAGACAGATCATGAAGAAGGCCAGATATTTCACTGTTTTTGTATCTAAATAATCCCTTTAACCCATCATAGAAAAAGAAAACAATAGAATTATCTGTTTCTTTCTAATTTATTTGGATATTACCCCCACTTAGCCTGCCAAGATGCCACTAGGTGGCACTGTTTAAGTACTATAAAAGAACAAACATGTCCCTTCTTCTTCCTTTCTTTTGCTCCAAGATGTAGCAGTCTTGATACTCTCCTTTTCTCCAATGGAGATAATATCTTTCCCCCAGATGACTGACGCACATGTGTGTGTATCACAGATACACACAATTCCTAATGTCTAAGTTTTAATTTTTTCTTTCTTTTTCACCTGTGTACAGACTAATATATTTTTTCCTTTTTGTTAATCATTTATTAGTTATATAAAAATACATGAAAATATCTCCATGCTAAAATTTGATCCCCCTCCCCATTCTCTCTCTCTCTCTCTTTTTTAAATATACTGTTGTTTACCCAATATAAGGCCCAAGAACATTCAGTGAAGAGATCACTGTATAGAATGAGTCTCAGGCTATTTGACAAGATACAAAGCCTCTTTGAAGAAATACCTCAGAACTTGACATAGGGACTATGATCTCTGGGAGACCTGGCCACTCACTGTCTACTCCACTGAGAATAAAAGCAAGGCTGACCTGATGAATGAGAGAAGAAGGATCATGTCAACCATGTCACCACAGCATCACCCTAAGACCAAAACTTCCTCTGCAGCAGCTGTGGCTGAACCTGCTGGTTTCAAATTGGATTAGTGTTGTAGAGTAAATAAGACACCCCCAGTAACACAAATGAATTAGGCAAGATGTTTTAAATAAAGAACTCAAAGTGAGTCAGGAGAAGTCTGTTGGAGTCAGTCAGAAAAAATTCTAATGATGTCACGGCAAGTAGCCTAAGCAAGACATAATATTATAACTGCTAGGAGTGAGTTGCAGCAGTGACGACGAGAGATCAAAACACATACAGAGTAGAAAAAATACATTTTGCTTCAGTGCACATGATAACAGTGGTGACAAGAAATTAGAACCACATTGGTTTCATTTTTTTCTTTGGTGTGTGTAAAAAATAGGAAAAAAATAGAGAAAGAAAAAACATATATTCTTTAAATATGGAATAATTATTAGCCCAAGTGGTAAAAATACAACAACAGCAACAACAGCAGCTGTTGGAACTCCAGAAACAACAACAAAATTTAATTGAAATAATATGAAAGAAAACAGAAAGTTCTTTCACTCCCAACACAATAGCAAATGCTATAACTGAATTTATATACAATTCAGATGATGGAATTAATTTTTCTGCTTATTTTAGAAGATACAAGCAAATTTTCAGTTAGAGAATAATACAGCAACTGGGAAGACGAGAAAAAAAAACAAGACTTTTGATCAGAAAGTTAGCACCTGTAGAGCATGAAAAATACTGTAATTTTGTACTACAGAAAAAACAGGAGAAATTTGCTTTAAAGAAACAGTAAATATTCTGATTAAAATTTTTTGTGAGAAAAGTTTGTTATTCAATTCTCATTGCTAGTGTATGAATCTGACAAAAAAAAAAGAAGACAAAGATTTTGTCACATGTTGGAATTGTTAAGGAGTGTGAAAGATTCCAATTAAATGAAGTGACTCCAGATATGTTTAAAGGGTTAATTTTCATTCAAGGGTTAATGACAAAAAAAAATGCTGAAATATGTCTTAGAATTCTAACAAAACTTGAACAGAATCAAAACCTAACACGACAAGAAATATTGGACAAATGTCAGGGAATCCTAAATCTAAGATGCAATATGGAACAAATTGAAGAAAAAGAAAAATTAATATAGGTTTCAGATGTGGAAGGTTACATCTCTGAAACAACTGTCCCTTTAAGAATTGAAAGTGCTACAAGTGTGGAAAAGTATGACATAAAAAGTCATACTGTAAAACTAAAGCAAGGAAAAGAGCTCACAGAAAAAAAATTTGTACACAGCATTGTAACAGAAAAATAATTACAGAAAACCAAAGAAAAATTGTTGTATGTGAAAATTAATAATGTGTATATAAAAATGGAAAAGAAATGTGGAAAGATGGTATAATAAGGTTATGAATTGGAAAAATGATATATATGGTAAAGGGGGGGGGGAAATGATACAAAAGGCATTGGAATCAGTTAAAGAAAAGTTTTACTAAAGAAAGACCCACAAAAAAGGAAGGACCCATGCAAGTACTGTATGATATTTTTGATGTACAAACACACCAAAAATTCATTGAACATACAAGTATGATTACCAGAAAAAGGAAACATGGAAAAACTAGAAGTTGATTCAAAACAAAAAAAATACTAAGTTTAATATGTGGTGAATTCACTCAGAAAGAGTAGGGGGTGTATACTAGGAAGTAAAATAAAATATTTACTAGTGAAAAAAAAAGAAATTTCAAAAGGCAGGATGTTGTGGAAAGATGACCTCAGTAACACAAATGAACTAGTCAAGACGTCTTAAATAAAGAACTCAAGGTGAGTCATGAGAATTCTAATGACATCACAGTGAGCAGCCTAAGCAAGACATAATATTATAACCACTAGGAGTGAGTCAGCAGTAAGCCTGCAGCAGACATGGACAGCCTCCTTCCTAGATCCTCAAACATGAAACCAAGCTAAAAAGTTGATTGATTGATTCTTTTTTATGGCTTATCAACCCTTGTGAGTTATTTAAAGCTGAAACATATTTTGAGATTGTAGGAAGAATTCTTTTTTTTTGTGAGTGAATATTGCTTTAACAATTTTCTTTTTGAGAATAACAATGATTTTTCTAGATACAACTCCTACTATTTAATCTATAGCTAGGTGGAGAAGATGGATTCATACCTTTCCCAAGGGTATTTGTGTGTAAGTGAATGTAACAAACCTGAGTGGAATGCAAAATCATCTCTCAGATTTCTCAATCCAAGCCGCTATCCATTACACCACACACATCTCCCAAGCCACAAAGACATATGTTTGACAATGAGAGTGAGTGATGAGAAGGTTAACATATGATCTCTCCCATGGAAGGTAGAGTTGTATTATCAATTAATGTTCTGATCACAGAGGTCAGGTACAAGGATCAAATGCTGATGTTTCTCAGCCAATCAGAGGTTCTGAGTTCCTTGATGAAGGCTAACCACATTAAATTATTAATCTACATAAACATACCCTAGTGAAGCTTTCCCAATGTTTCATCAACTGGATAAACCCTGTCACATTATGTTTAGTTTCTCATTTGAGTAAGTGCATACAAAGACTGGGAAAGTTCCATTATCAGTTCACAATGAAATATTTGGTTATTTGTTCAAGGATTCCCTTGGCATTGTCTAGTTGGGAAGGCAGGTGACACTTGGGACAACTTTACTGTCCTTTCTCATGATAGACTAACAGACAAGGATGTTACCTTCTGCCAGAGAGAACTTTGACTCTCTCCTACCACTCTTCTGTCTATTACAGCTTTGTAATGCCTGGCAAACAAGTCACCCACAGGTGGTTTGAAATACAACCAATTCTAATTCTGGTTCTAGTTATATAACCCTACAAATGGAAGTTCATAACTTCCGGCCAAGTGGCACTTGACTGTAAAAGTTTCCATTTATTTATCTATTTTATTTCTTGTTAGTCAGTAGATAACCACTTTGAAGACTTTATTTTTAGAGTTTACTGCCGAAACA